GCCGGATGCCCTTCCTGACACCTACACGGAGTTCACAGCAGATATTTTTCCTTTGCACTTTGGGAAAGAAACATCTGCCGCTACCTCGTTTTGGAACTCTCCGCTTTCCGAGTGGGAGGCGAGGATCTTCGCCAATAAGCCACCACGCCGCTCATCCCTACTATCGTGTCCTGTCCCCCCGCAATCCTGTTCATCATATGATTTAGCCTCAAGATCCTTTATCATCTTCGTTGCTCTTTTGAGCACGCTCCAGAACCTGATTTCCTCGGAGAGCCGAGTGGCGTGCAAAGGACAATCTCAAGGCAGCTCCTACAACGAGGATTACTCACGCGTAATACTGCAGGTGCCATAACCAGTTTGAGAAGCGCCAGCGACTCTCTCCCTGATAGGTTAAACAAAGAACCAGCTAGTCTTGTATTATTAATGCAATGGGCTTGCGGTTTCTCTGCATTGTTCTGCAGATGCGCCGGTCTGCAATCTGCAAGCTTGGGAGGAGATGCTAGAAATATTCAGACGGAATATTTCAAGATTTTCCAAGGGTGGCCATAGGGCCACACAGATTCTCCGCGGCTGTATGTCCAAGTCTCGTCTCCCCAGAGATCTTCGGATCTCCCATCAAAAAAAAAAAAAAAAAGAGGGACATTGCAAGCACTGAACTCATCCTCCTCTTTTAATGACCCCATCATCCCTTGCGGGGTGGAGTCTGGGCAACTGAATGGAGCTACCAGTGTGTTTTACTGGCCGGATGCCTTTCCTGTCACCAATGCGGAGTTATATTCAGCAGCTCTATTCTCAGTGTGCCCAGAGAGAGAAATATCTGCCTCTACCTAGGATCGAACTCACAGCCTCCTGATTGGCAGGCGAGAATTCCACCTCTAGGCCAGCGCACCACTCGTTGGAAGCACCGAACCGATTTAAGATTATTGGGAACAATACAGATAGCCCCCAACTTAATTTGTTCAGTGACCATTCGAAGTTACAATAGCTGGAAAAAAAAAAAGTGACTTACAATCCATTTTCACTCTTACGACCGTTGTGGCATCCCCATGGTCAAGTGATCCAAAGTCTGACGCTTGGCAACTCATATTTATGACGGTTGTAGTGTTTTGTCCCCTTTTGCAACTGAAGTCAATAGAGACACTGATTCACTTAACAACGGTGTCACTAACTTGACAATTGCAGTGATTGACTTACCAACCATGGCCACGAAAGTCATAAAACGGAGCAAAGTCTCACTTAAAGCTTTGTCTTGATTGGCAGTAGGAAATGTTGGGCTCAAAACTGTGATTGTAAGTCGAGCACTATCTGTGCTTCGGTTTTCACTGAGCGATACTTCGCTCAACATCCAGAGGCAGCAAGAAAATTGGCACAGAATATCCGGTTCGTTCCCCTATTTAGAGTTCAAATTCTCTTAAATCCACCCAGATTTGAGAAGGATGATCTGTGTCATTAAAAACTAACGAATGATCTCTGGTGGTTTTTTTTTTCCTGGTCCACAAGGAAACCCGTTTCCGATTGTAATTTACACAATAGAAACCGAGAACGTGTCCTCCACAGAGATGCCAACAGAAAAATGGCACCATCTTCAACCACAGAATATCAGATGATTTCTCAGGTAAAGGTAAAGGTTCCCCTCGCACATATTGTGCTAGTCATTACCGACTCTAGGGGGCGGTGTTCATCTCCGTTTCAAAGCCCATGTCTGAAGACGTCTCCGTGGTCATGTGGCCGGCATGACTCAACGCCAAAGGCGCACGAAACTCCGTTACCTTCCCACCAAATGTGTTCCTTATTTTTCTACTTGCGTGTTTTTTTAATGTGCTTTTGAACTCCTAGGTTGGCAGAAGTCACGGGAGCTCCCCCCGTTCCGCGGCACTAGGGACTCGAACCGCTGAACTTTCGATCGACAAGCTCAGCATCTTAGCCACAGAGCCACTGTGTCCCTTAGAGATGCTTTCTATTATGACCAAATTTCAGACTGGATGATGGGTCCCAGCCAACCTTCTTTCAATGGACAACTTTAGGGGTGTATCCCAGATCCCATCTTTCCCAGAGCAGCATTGTCCTTGTGCTTCTCTCCTCAACAGTTGGAGGTCAACAAGGTAGAGAAGGCTTCCCAAGAAGCTCCCCTCAAAGGCAATGAGGTAGCTCAACCCAAGAAAACCAACTTTGCACCTGAGGTTCACCTCTTCCATCGACAGCAGAAAGGAAAACTTTGGTGGGCCCCGAAGGGCGTTTCTTCCAACTTTGGGAGATGACCCACCTCAGTTTTGATCCCCCCCACCCCTTGGTTCAAAAGTCAACAACCCCCTCAACGGTTTTAAGGAAAAGCTTGGGAACCAAGAAGCAATCCAAACCAAGAAGCTAATCTGAAGTTCCCTTCTGAGCAATATCAAATGCCTGGATCTTGGCTGACCTTCTTTCCCAACAATTCCAAGTTCCAAGGGATAATACACATACACACACACACACTCAACGGAGGGGAAGAGCAAAGTGACACGTACATTTTCCATTCTGGGTAAGCCATTACAATCAAGAGTAGAAGAGAGGGAGAGGAAGGAGACAGGGCCCGTATCTGCTCGTCTGCCAAATGGGTCAGGAGGAGGTTATGTGAAAATATGAAACATGTGTCTTCTTGGACCAAAAGATGGAACAACATGATTACAACAGGAAATGTACAGGAAAGCGAGCCGGGGAGGGCGAGGGCACGCTTGCCAAAAGAACATTTCCATGGAAACCCAACACTAAATAGGTTTCTTCCCACCATCGAGTTTGCAGATGTGCAATTCACCTGAGTTTGCTCCTTTCCCACCCGCTCAGCCGCCGGGGTCCTCCCCCGAGCATCCATCCCATCTCAGACCATCCATCCATCTCTTCTCCATTATTCCCCTTCCCCCTTTTAAAACGTGAGAACGCAGATGACGTGACGTCTTCTGCGGTTTAAGAAGCCAACTCCAAAGTCTATAGCGTTGGCTCCAGGAGAATCCCACGGATGGACCGGAGAACGTGAAGTCCAACGTTGGATATCCCCCTGCGATTCTTGCATGATGGATGCTCTTCCTTCTGCCCCCCATCCCACCTTCTCCAAATTTAAAATAATAATAATAATAATAAAAAAAGCTGGCATTCTTCAGAACAATCAAGATCTTGCTTATTTGGAGATCTCGGTAATTTGGCCCTCAAAATGTAGCAGAAACATTGACCAAGGAAGGTCCTAAGCTAGCTCAATGTTTCTCAACCATTGCCAGTTTAAGATGGGTGGACTTCAACTCCTAGAATTCCCCAGCCAGAGCTGAAGTCCACCCATCTTAAAACTGGCCACCGCTGAGAAAAACTGGGATAGCTACTATGCTGAGGTTGCAAGTGGTCTCTAGAGTCTTCTTCTAAGGCCACCCTCCTCAACTTCCTCTCATCCCGATGTCCAATTTTGGAGTCATGATGGCAGAAAATGTGGCAGCACAGGTCAACTTAAGTTAAGTACCTTCACATAAAAAATGGCATCTATCTATCTATCTATCTATCTATCTATCTATCTATCTATCTATCTTATTTATCTTATCTATCTATCTATCTATCTATCTATCTATCTATCTATCTATCATCTACCTACCTACCTATCTAGAGGGACGTGGTGGCTCAGTGGCTAAGACGAAAGATCGGCAGTTCAGCAGTTCGAATCCCTAGTGCCGCGTAACGGGGTGAGCTCCCATGACTTGTCCCAGCTTCTGCCAACCTAGCAGTTCGAAAGCAGATAAAAAATGCAAGTAGAAAAATAGGGACCACCTTTGGTGGGAAGGGAACAGCGTTCCGTGCGCCTTTGACGTTGAGTCATGCCGGCCACATGACCACAGAGACGTCTTCGGACAGCGCTGGCTCTTCGGCTTTGAAATGGAGATGAGCAGCACCCCCTTGAGTCAGGAACGACTAGCACATATGTCCGAGGGGAACCTTTATCTTTACCTTACCTACCTATCTGCCTATCATCCATCCATCCATCTATCCATCCACCCACCCACCCATCCATCATCCATCAACAGGTTCATTCCAGTCTACTAGACCATTAACTTCCATTCTAATCATAAACTCGCTCTAGAAAATGGTATTATTATTATTATTATGGTTGGTCAGCCTGGATTTGTCACTTTTCTCCACCTATCGAGATCTTCCCAAGGACCGGGGATAGGCATGTATGAATGTTGGATGGTATTAAAAGATCTCCTCGCAGGAGGTAAGCTGTTCCAAGCAAACCTGCCTTTTGCAATTGACCGATGGGGATTTTGTCAATTTTGCAGCCCTCTTCTAAGCGGTTTTACAGAGTCAGCTTCTTGCCCCCAACAATCCGGGTCCTCATTTTTACGAACCTCGGAAGGAGGGAAGGCTGAGTCAACCTGGAGCTGGTGAGAATCAAACTATTGGCAGTCAGCATTGAGTTAGCCTGCAATGCTGCATTCGTTAACCACTGTGAAGGGAGGGAGGGAGGGAGGGAGGGAGGGAGGGAGGAAGGAAGATGGGGGGGAGGAAGAGCCTGGAAAGAGCCAGGAAGGAAGGAAGGAAGGGAAGGGAAGGGAAGGGAAGGGAAGGGAAGGGAAGGGAAGGGAAGGGAGGGAGGAAGGAAGGAAGGAAGGAAGGAAGGAAGGAAGGAAGGAAGGAAGGAAGGAAGGAAGGAAGATAGGTGGGGGAAGAAAGACCAAGGAAGGAAGAAATAAGAGGAGGGAGAAAAGAGACAGACATGAAGGAGGGAAGGAAGGAAGATGGGGGGAAGGAAATGCCAGGAAGGAAGGAAGGAAGGAAGGAAGGAAGGAAGGAAGGAAGGAAGGAAGGAAAGAAGGAAGGAAGGAACCAACCATGAGCTTGGTAGTCCCACTGGAGTTTGAACCTCAATTTCTCTCAGGGGATTACCGAAATGTGGAGCGAGGGAAGTAGCTTGAGTAACCCTTATACGTGTCTAAGGATCTTTTTATAAGCAGTGATAGAAAATAAACTAAGGTCTCTTCTCTTACCTCAGCTACCAACATGGGAATTCGCCCGGGGGCAACATCTAACATTATCTATGGAAGAAAAGAAAGACAAGGAGATGTTTCAGTTGGGTCAACAACCAAGCAAAAATCAATGTATTTCATCATGGATTAATGGCCCTGGATTTTCGACTCTTCTAAGGTCGATGGGGATTCTCAGTTATCCAGAACATGGTTGTTTTTTTTCCAAGCACCTTCGACTGGACATTCTGGTTTTTTCTTTGAAGACCTTTCGCTTCTCATCCAAGAAGCTTCTTCAGCTTGGAGGAGGAGGAGGAGGGGAGGAGGAGGAGGAGGAGGAGGAGAGGAGGAGGAGAATGGGGGAAGCTGGAGTCACTTAACAACTGCCACGACTGGCCTTAGCGATCAGAGCAAAACAGGTCGTAAAACGGGTGTGACTCCCTTAACAACCGTCTAACTTAGTGATGGAAGTTCTGGTTCCAATCGCAGTGGTCAGTTGACGATTGCCAGTACTAGAAGAGAATGCAGAATATAACGTAGTTGGAAGGGACCTCGGAGGTCTTCTAGTCCAACCCCCTGCTCAAGCAGGAGACCCTACACCAGAGGTCTTCAAACTTGGCAGCTTTAAGACTTGTGGACTTCAACTCCCAGAAGTCTCCAGCCAGCATAGAATTCTGGGAGTTGAAGTCCACAAGTCTTAAAGCTGCCAAGTTTGAAGACCTCTGCCCTACACCATGCCAGACAAAGCCTCTTCTTGAAAGACTCCAGTGATGGAGCACCCACAACTTCTGAAGACTGATTAATTGTTCTCACTGTCAGGACATTTCTCCTTATTCCTAGGTTGGTTCCTAAGTTGGTTCCCTATTCCTAGTTTTGCTTCCACCCATTGCTTCTTGTCTTGCCTACCACCATATAAAGGTAAAGGCAAAGATTCCCCTCGCACATACGTGCTAGTCGTTCCCGACTCTAGGGGCGGTGCTCATCCCCGTTTCAAACCCAAAGAGCCAGCGCTGTCCGAAGACATCTCCGTGGTCATGTGTCCAGCATGACTCAACTCCAAAGGCGCACGGAACGCTGTTCCCTTCCCACCAAAGGTGGTCCCTATTTTTCTACTTGCATTTTTTACCTGCTTTCGAACTGCTAGGTTGGCAGGAGCTGGGACAAGTCATGGGAGCTCACCCCGTTATGCGGCACTAGGGATTCGAACCACTGAACTGCCGACCTTTTCGATCGACAAGCTCAGCATCTTAGTCGCCGAGCCACCGCGTCCCTTATAAACCCATATAAAGTTAAGAACATACAAGCCACAGGATTGCCGGGACTTTTTTTCCAAAAAAATGAGAGTCAAATTCAACTCAGTTTAAATGATTGGTTTGAAATGGGAAAGAGAGACCCTTTTAAAGCTGCGAAAGTTGCACGAAAACCGGCTGGGCAGATCTAAAGACAAACTGAGTTTGTAGAAAGAGGCATCTGCCTCCGGGACCCAACCCACTGAAACTGAGGCCGAGAAGGTTTCTAATCCTTGACAAACACCACAACTGTTTGCAAAGCAAGCATGTTGAAACCCGGTTTCGCTGAGCCTCCAGTGGTAAACGGAGCCCTACAATTAACGCATACATGCTCCAGATGCAGACTGCAACCATAATTGCATCCGAGGGGATCTTGGGTTGTTTTCCTTGCAGATGTTTCATTAGCCCAAACTAGGTAACATCATCAGTATGCCAGAAGGGAGTGGGGCTTGCTTCGGTATACAAGCAGAGAGCAAATCTTGCTCCCTTTTTAGCACTGATGATGTTGCCTAGTTTGGTAATGAAACGTCTGCCAAGAAAACAATCAAACTCAGAGAGCACCAAGGACCCCATAGTCCTTTTCCTGTTCCTTCTCTTCCTCCTCCACTCCGCAAACCCCCCTCCCTTCTAGCATTGATGATGTTATCTAGTTGGATAATGAAACATCTGCAAAAAAAAACAATCAAACTCAGAGCACCAAAGTCCTCACAGTCCTTCCTTCCTGGCTTGTCCTTCCCCCATCCTTCCTTCCTTCCTTCTTTCCTTCCTGTCTCCTTCCTTCCTCCTTCCTTCCTTCCTTCCTTCCTTCTTTTCTCTTTCCCTCCTCCTCCTTCTCCTTCCTTCCTTCCTGTCTCCTTCCTCCTCCTTCTTCCTTCCTGTCTCCTTTCTCCCTCCTTCCCTCCTTCCTTCCTTCCTGTCTCTTTTCTCCTTCCTTCCTTCCTTCTCTTTCTCCTTCCTTCCTTCCTTCCTTTCCTTCCTTCCTTCCTGTCTTTTTCTCCTCCTTCCTTCCTTCCTTCCTGTCTCTTTTCTCCCTCCCTCCTCCTTCCTTCCTTCCTGTCTCTTTTCTCCTTCCTTCCTTCCTGTCTCTTTTTCTCCCTCCTTTCCTTCCTTCCTTCCTTCCTTCCTTCTTTCCTTCCTTCCTTCCTTCCTGTCTCTTTTCTCCTTCCTTCCTTCCTTCCTTCCTCTCCCTTCTAGCACTGATGATGTAACTTAGTTGGGTCATGAAACATTTGCAAGAAAGAAACCAAGCTCAGAGAGCACCAAGGACCCTCATTTCAACCCTGAGCTTCAAATATTCTCCTTTATCAATAATAGCATTGATGATGTTACCTAGCTGGGTCATAAAACGACTGCAAGAAAACAACCAAGCTCAGAGCACCAAGGTCCTCACAGCCGTCCTTCCTTCCTTCCTTCCTTCCTTCCTTGCTCCCTTCCTTCCTGTCTCTTTTCTCCTTCCTTCCTTCCTTCCTTCCTTCCTTCCTTCCTTCCTTCCTTCCTTCCTTTCCTTCCTTCCTTCCTTCCTTCCTCTCCCTTCTAGCACTGATGATGTTATCCAGCTGGATCATGAACTGGCTGCAAGAAAACAACCAAGCTCAGAGCACTGAAGTGCAGGGGGTTAGACTAGAAGACCTCCAAGGTCCCTTCTAACTCTATATATTCCATTCCATTCCATCCCATTCCATCCCATCCCATCCCATTCCACATATTCCATTCCATTCCATTCCATTCCATTCCATTCCATTCTCCTATTCTGTTCCCATTCTCATTCCCATTCCCTTCTCCATCCATTGCTGAAACACTGGTCTATCCATTCCGCAAAAACAGAAACCAACTGATACGGCCAAAACAGATTCCACAGCAATTCGATCTGCCGAGACCTTTGCGAGATTTCAAGCTAAACGCAGAATTTGGTGATCTCACAGGGTTCCTGCTGATGAAGCTGTTTTTTTTTTTTTTTTTTTAAAGATGACTACATCTCAAAAGATTGCCGGCATCTGGTATGTACGCTCCATAATTAGAACGGTGAAGCTATGGGGCGAAACGATTGCCAGGTTTCCTACAGAGATTTCGCTCAATGCAAACTAGGTTTCTCCGTTTTTATCCACAGCATGTTTTCCTCTCCCGTTAATAACTTCATGGCATCATTCTCCAATGCAGGACCACAAATTTGTCTGAAATGGCATAGGGCCGTGATGGCAAACCTGTGGCATGCGTGCCACAAGTGGCACGTGGAGCCGTATCTGTGGGCACGCAAGTGCTGTCCTAGCTCAGCTCCAATGCACATCAGCCAGCTGATTTTCGGGCTCTTCCCAGAAGGGCCAAAAATCAGCTGCCTGGTGCATGCATGCACGCTTGGCCAATAAAGAATCCGATTCTAATTCTATTCTATTGTATCATGATCACTCACTGACTCAATCTATTTATTACAGTCTTAGACCAGAGACCAGAACAAATAAAAATGCTCAGTAAATATGATGATCATGATTTATCATTTGTTGCTTGCATGCACACTGAGAGTTTATGCACCGAAGACAAATTCCTTGTGTGTCCAATCACACTTGGCCAATAAAGAATTCTATTCTAATTCTATTGTATTATGATCACTCACTCAATCAATTTATTACAGTCTTAGACCAGAGACCAGAATGAATAAAAACGCTCAGTAACTATTATGATCATGAGTTATCATTTGTTGCTCCATGTACACTGAGCGCTTTTGCACCAAAGACAAATTCCTTGTGTGTCCAATCACACTTGGCCAATAAAGAATTCTATTCCAATTCTATTCTATTGTATTATGATCACTCACTCACTCAATCTATTTATTACAGTCTTAGACCAGAGACCAGAACAAATAAAAACGCTCAGTAAATATGATTATGATTTATCATTTGTTGCTTGCATGTACACTGAGAGTTTATGCACCGAAGACAAATTCCTTGTGTGTCCAATCACACTTGGCCAATAAAGAATTCTAATTCTATTGTATCACTCACTCACTCACTCAATCTATTACAGTCTTAGATCAGAAACCAGAACAAATAAAAATGCTCAGTAAATATGATGATCATGATTTATATTTGTTGCTTGCATGCACACTGAGAGTTTATGCACCAAAGACAAATTCCTTGTGTGTCCAATCACACTTGGCCAATAAAGAATTCTAATTCTATTGTATCACTCACTCACTCACTCAATCTATTACAGTCTTAGATCAGAAACCAGAACAAATAAAAATGCTCAGTAAATATGATGATCAATGATTTATCATTTGTTGCTTGCATGCACACTGAGAGTTTATGCACCAAAGACAAATTCCTTGTGTGTCCAATCACACTTGGCTAATAAAGAATTCTAATTCTATTCTATTGTATCACTCAATCTATTACAGTCTTAGACCAGAAACCAGAACAAATAAAAACGCTCAGTAAATATTATCATCATGATTTATCATTTGTTGCTTGCATGTACACTGAGAGCTTATGAACTAGAGACCAATTCCTCATGTGTCCAATCACCCTTGGCCAATATAAAGAATTCTAATTCTAATCTAATCACCAATCGATCGACAAAAGGTTGAGATAAGCAACAACCATTTTCCCCTCTAATTTGTGTGCGTTCTTAAATATTTTGGCTGGTTGGTAAGATGCCAGCCTGATTAAACAAGATAAGCACTCAACAGCTTCTTCGCCGGTGACCCCAAGAATAAAAAAAAAGATAATAAAAGCACTCAACAGCTTCTTCGCCGTCGATGACCCCAAGAATAATTTTTAAAAAGATAAT